ACTTATTGTTGAAAAGCTCCATCGAATTTTTTAACAGTGTAAATTAAAATTTTATTGAAATTATTAACATCGTTCCTTAACTTTTCTCCAGTAGCTTATTTCCTTTGTTCCATTTAATCTTTATTTACAAAAAAACTATTATGTAAATTTTTGTTATTTTGTATAATATTTATCCATTACACCCTAATCTTTCTTCGGCAAAAAAAATTTATTGCTAATCATGCATTAATTTTTAAGTAATACACATATTTATGTCTTTGTTGTTTACGTTCCTTATATTATGGCCGCTACTATATATATATATATATATATATATATATATATATATATATATATATATATATATATATAATTACACAACAATATTAATTGCCTCATATGGGATATCGATCTATTTCAACCGATGAAATCTTCGCCAGTAGTCTCTTAAAACCTCGGTGTATAGACTGAGTTCGTGTCGGAAATAGAATTTTAACTGCAATAGCAGCTGAAAAATTAATACATAATTTATCTATTTCAATGTTTCAGCCAGAAAAAAATGAAGGAGACAGCAGTTAGGCTTGGGTGGAAGTTATTAACCTTAAATGGAAGAGGTTTTATAACATTAAAACCCGATATTCACCTTATGACATAAAATTGGGTTTATATGAATAAATAGGTCTGTTATAATAAATCCATTCAGCTCTTTTTGCGGATGAGTTTTAATATTTTACATTACTAGGATCCACTTGCGTTGTATACCAACAGATTTATTACATTTAATATCTATCTATCTATATATCTATAAATATACCCAAGTATATGATTGGTGTATACGGAATAAATTCCAATAATCAACAATTACTATACTTAAAAGAGAGCTCAATACAGAGTAGAGCAGATATAATTATTTATTTAAAAATTATAACATAAATATGTTATAAAATCAATACAAAAATAGCCATTTTGATTCAGCACCTCCGGAGTCTTATCAAGGCAAGATGTTGAATGTAAAATAAAAATCGTGGCCTGACGATTGCATCTAGCATGAAACAGACCGTCGCCTCTAAATGTTGTGGGCACTCGTTCTATGTTCACTTTTATATTTACACGCACTCTATCTCTGTTATTGAGCACTTTATCCCATTAATATAGCACAACTTAAGACTATATTTCTTCATATATATATATATATATATATATATATATATATATATATATATATATATATATATATATTGTTAGGGCGCACCCACCTTCTGATTGATAATGGACTTATCCCTCTACGATATAAGTCAGTGCTAGAGAGAGTAGTGGTGTTGGTGTGCGAGGATCAGGTTCAGCGACAGCAGTCGAGATCAGGTTACCATTACATACCGCTGGACTGTAGACTTTTGCTATTGTTACTTACTAACCGGCGTTTCTTATTACTAATCACTCTGTTGTTAATTACCTCTTACAAATATACCAGTATTTATCCCTACAACTGTGTTTGTCTTTATTCGAATACACACACGCAGGAACACTCCCAACAACTCAACAGTGGCGACGAGGCTTCGAACGGGATAAGAAGAACCTACGTTGAAAAATAAATATCGCAACAGCGAAAGAAACGATATATATATATATATATATATATATATATATATATATATATATATATATATATATATATATATTTTGGTTGGATAGATGTGACAAACTCTGACGATCGCTAAAGCGTGAAACCCAGGGTCACAATCTCACATCTAACCAACCAAATATATTAGCTCTATCTCTGATATTAGCGCTTTCTAATAAGTACCGCGCATATAATATATAAATAATTATACATATATATATATTTATTTATATTTATATACACTTTTCACATATATATATATATGATTTATTAAAAAATTATAACATGTTAGCACCATCACTTGATAAGACACAGGGAAATGTTGAAACAAAATGGCTATTTTTAAAATGATTTCATAAAAATATTTATAATTTTCGAATAAATTATATTTGCTCTTCTCTGTATTGAGCACTATTTTAGGAATAATATTTTTTATTTATTAGAATTTATTCCGTATACACAATCCTATATATTATATATATATATATATATATATATATATATATATATATATATATTAAAGTAAAAGAGACCACTTACGGTTATGCTTAAACGTCTTCTATTAGAAGATGTTCGTAGGATGGATTTTTCTTATGGGAGCAGGGAGTCGTGTATGGGCATTAGAAAAACTGAATGAAAATAACTTCTTTATCGCATTCATTTTGACAGGCATAAATTAAACTTTTCTGTATAGGTAATACTGATTTTTTGGTCAGAATTGTGAATAAGTAGAAATTCGTTTCATTCTTAAAATTAGGAAAAAGTCATTTGCAAAAGTAGAAAAAAAATTTCGGTTCTCTAACAAAACCTATTTTTTTTTTTATAATCCTTTCTGGCCTTGATAAATAAAAAGAAACAAATACCTCTTGTTGTTACAATTCGCATCAGTATTCTCCGAGA